AGAATTCAGCCTCTCTGCCCAAGCTCTGTCTGAAGCTGGCCGTTCATGTCATGAAAGGTGGATTGCTATCAACTGGGGGACTCAGCTGTCACCCAGCAGGGACACAAAACGAATGAGTTTTCAGCTAAATCAACAGTCTGAATATAAGTGAAACACTATGTCAAGTAAGAATTCAGGAGGATGCAGTGCAGAGTTCCTCATATCTTTTCATTTATTTCAGTCCTGATCTGGATGGATTGTCACTGTAGGGAGAACTCTAGCACTTTCAATTACTGTACTTTTTCACTAAAAGGCAAGAATTGTAATTGTGTACATCCAACTTTACCATTTGCTTTGAACTGAGTAATAAAGTAAACACATGCAAAGTAATGAACTTATTTAAGATAGAACATGTTAATACAAAAGCTAAATACAATTTCCTATAACATTTAAATGCAGTCTGTCTTGGAAAACTGGGATGAAAAAATAATACAAGAATTTAAAAAAAAAAAAAAAGGGCATATCTGTGAAACTGAAGAATGATGCCAAGGAGCAACAAGTCAACCTGGAGACTGTAGAAAGAAAGAAGTTCACTCTGCAGAACTAAGAGATGAGCTGTAGGGGGAGTGTATAAAGCCTGGAGGCAGAGTTTGGCCATATGCCTCTCTACTGCATCAACACAAACTACTTGTCTTCACTTTGAAGGCCTTCCACATCCTATTCCCCACCCTACCTATCACCTCTTATAAAATATAAAGAAACCAACTTCTGTCATTGTTCCACAAATGCCCATTTTGATTGGCCATTTAAATACTTTTCCAACATATAACCTTGTTATGTTGGTTCTCTAAATATCTGGTGGAGTTCTCTAAATATCTGCAAAACTACGTTGTCCTTCAAATACCCCCTTAAGACATTTCTCTGCTATGATGCCTACCAAAACTTGACAATTGTTTGCTGCAGTCACTGGTTATCATGCTGACCAGCATCATCTCATTATTTCCTCATATATACTCTTGTCTGTTTCTTGTATCGAACTGTTGTCTTGGACTGTAAACTCCTTCATGGCAAGGACCTTCATCCTTGTACAGGATGGCATTGTACACTGCCTAGCACAACTGGGCCCTGGCCTCTTTGTGCTACCGCTACACAAATAATCAATGTTTTGTACCACCCCAGTACTGACGCCTCTTTCATTTTCAACAAGTTGAATTTGGTGCTATATGTGTACAAGCATATACAACCCTTTGTGAGGGCTGAGTCAGATGGTTAGTAATGTAGAGCATTTTTTTCTCTGGGCCACCAACATGCATCCACCCAACATTAGCAAGAACCAAAAATAATTACAGTCTGAGGACAACCTACAGTTTGTGAAATGAGTTAGCCTTGATCTCTTTACTAAAGATTAAAGCACCTAGCATTCATATCAAAACCTAGCACTAAAACTGGCATTACTTGGAAGGGGAAGCAATTGACTGGACATAAAAACAATTTTATCCCATTTCCTCAACAGCAGGTTTGATGCACAGCCACAGAGCAAAATGGCCTGCTGGTACTGCTTATGTCTGTGCTGTATGTGGTCTGGGTATACATGACCTTAGTCCCAAAGGCTGTCAGTCTAACACCTTTCGTGAGCACTTGTTTTTTTTATTAAGAATTGTTATACTTAATATGAACATTCTAAGAATATATTCTCAACAGTAGTAATATTTGGTGATGTGCCTAAACCTGTTTTCTGACACTAGAATAAATAAACAAACGAACTTCAAGCTTCTATTTCAATTGTCCAAAGAAAAAGTCCCAAATGACTCCAAACACTTGATAAAATTAAACCATCTCACCATATATCATGTTCACACTGAATTTGGAAAAAAAAGTCTAGCGATGGTTCCTCCTCTGACCTTTACACCACTGCCAAGCCATAGCTGTAAATAAAATCCAAGATCTCAATTTTTGACACCCACAGGGTATAGCACTCAAAATCAAAATCTGAATAGTTTTCATCTTTATTTTGAAACTGGAGAATGCTCTCCATTAAGAAATGTAGATATGGACAGAGAAAGCATTATAGGGAGGTGGATTTGACCAATCAGATGATAATTGTCAGAAAATGAACTTTTAACAGCAAATTAAATTTAAAATACTTTTATTTAAAAAAAAATGTTAATGGCACCTTTGAGCAGTCATGACCACACCAAGAAATATACAAATACACTACATACATTAATAGATGCATTTTTACACCGTGCTGCACAAAATGAAAGTGGTACGAGATACAAAGGTTATATGCTGACACAAATATTTTCAGTCAATAAAAATAAACAGGTTTCAGTACACTTCGGTACTGCCTAGTCAGCATTACCTTACAAAAAAGGAAGGGAGATAGATTCATGGAAAGAAAGAGCTTTCTACCAACAGTACAACTTAATACACCACACATATGCAATAAAATCAAATTTACAAGACAATTCAATCAAGTCCCCATGCAATCTGTATGTACATTGTCTTCTAATTTCTTAGAAAACAGATGACAGGATTTTACTGGCCTCAAAACTGGATTTTATAGTGCTTTTTGTTCTTCAAGGGTGATTAAGCAATTCAGTAAATTGCAATATTTTCTTTTTCCCTTACATTATTTTAATATAAAATTTTCATTTTTTAAACTGAACTCTGCTTCACTACCAGATTAAGCTCATTCTGTTGGCATTCAAATTTCATTTAAAAACCTGTCTGTGTCTACAGTACTGTATTTCAAGTTTTGACTATGAATATATATTTGTTTATCTGGAAGAAGTTATAAAACTGCCTTATTAAAAAAAAAATCAATATAAAATCTAGGCGCCTAACTCTCAGAGCATGTTACTTCTGAAAATAGGACTTGGTGTAAAATTTTTCAAAAGCACCTAAGTGATTCTGGATCCTCTTTGTATTTTGAGCTTGTTTAGCTAATTTTTGTAAATTATAGATTATAAAGCCAGAAGGACCATTGTGATCATCTAGTCTGACATCCTGTATAACACAGGCCATAGGACTTCCCTGCATTTATTCCTGTTTGAACTACAACATATTTTTTAGAAAAACATCCAATCTTGATTTAAAACTTTTGAGTGATGGACAGTCTACCACACCCCATGGTAAATTGTTCCAAGGATTAATTACCCTCACTGTTAAAAATTTGCACCTTATTTCTAGTTTGAGTTTGTCTAGCTTCAGCTTCCAGCCATTGATTCATGTTATATCTTTGTTTGCTAGATTGAAGAGACCTCTATTATCAAATCTCTGTTCTCAATGTAGGTACTTATGCAAAGATGCTGAAAGGTATTTAGGCTCCTAACTTCCACTGAAATCAATGGGAACTTAGGAAACTCCAGCTGGTACAAAATGCTACAGTGTGTCTCTCCTCAGCAACACAGACTACTATGAGCATATCACATCTGTCCTGGGCTTCCCATAGAATTTCAAATCAAGTTAAAGGTCTTAGTCCTTATCTTCGAAGCATTCCATGGCCTGGGCTCAGAATACCTAAAAGACCAAAAGTTCTGGGATGAAGACCACGGTCAACAACTTCACTCCTCTGGCACAATGCAACTCTCAACAATAAGAGTAAAGCTTGTCTATGCAGGAGACACAACCTTCTCCAGGGATGGTATGAGACTGGAATAAACTCCCCCAGGAACTACCGTAACAACTACTACAAACCTTGTCACTTTCCACCCAAAGTGCAAGGCACATTTCTTTGATCTTTTCTTCTCAAACATGAACACATAGCAACAGCTATATTTAACAAACAAACAAAACAAAAACCCACCCTACCAAAACAAGACACTCAACTCCACATGCTTCTCCCTCTGGGGAAGAGGATGAGAACACAAACAGATGTGTAGTCATGTTGCTTAATGCACTACTGGAAGGTGCTCAGATACTATGGTGATGTGCATGGTATGAAAACCTACATAGAATAGAATATGAGCCTAAATACATTAAGCATCTGGATCTTATAGACTGACCAAGTCACCCCCTAACTTTATCTTTGATAAACTAAACAGATTGAGCTCCTTGAATCTTTCACTGTGAGGCATGTTTTCCAACCCTTTCATCATTCTCAATGTTCTTTCTGTGACCTCTCAAATTTATCAACGTCCTTTCTGAAATGTTGACACCAGAACTGGACACAGTACTCCAGTAGCGGTTCCACTTCTTAATGTTAGGCATTTTAATACTAAACAAGCAGTGGCCAGATTCAATAGCTCTCTATGAAAAGCCAGAACTAGTATAACTGGAGCTTAATAAGACAAGAAGCACTACTGGGTTACATGAAGGACTGAACTTATAGTATATAAGGCAGGAAGAAATTGAATAGGATAGTATACAGTCAGAGTAATATCAGTGACTTTGGACAACAGTGGAACTAAATTTATGTGGGCATCTTTCACTAGGTTTGTGTGGGAAGCCCTAAAGCAGGGGTAGGCAACCTATGGCACGCGTGCTGAAGGCGGCACACAAGCTGATTTTCAGTGGCACTCACACTGCCCGGGTCCTGGCTACCGGTTCAGGGGGCTCTGCATTTTAATTTAATTTTAAATGAAGCTTCTTAAACATTTTAAAAACCTTATTTACTTTACATACAACAATAGTTTAGTTATATATTATAGACATATAGAAAGAGACCTTCTAAATATGTTAAAATGTATTACCAGCACGCGAAACCTTAAATTAGAGTGAATAAATGAAGACTCGGCACACCACTTCTGAAAGGTTGCCGACCCCTGCCCTAAAGAAACCCCTTGATTTGGATCAATGGGCTGAAATTAGAAAGGTAGCTAACAGTGAAACTAACAGTGAAGGTAACTCTCCAGGAATCAACAGGTATGGATTCTACCATCAAACTCTTTGGGGCTTTCAAAGATTTGTTTATCTCTCAAGCAGTTAGGATGTTAACCATAATGACTAGGGTTACTAGACTCAGTTCCAACCAATTATGACTAACTTACTAAGGATCTTGAGACTGAAGATACACTTGGCAATGAAATTAAGTGGTTCTTTGATTGCCAGCCAGAATCAGCCAGAGAAAAGAATTCAACATATTTTGGGAGAGGGAGTTTCAAAGAGTTTGGCATACACTTAAAGGGATTGAGTGCCATGAGCATATTAAAGGCTACCTTCCACTTCCTTAACACAAGTTAGACACCCTGGCTTACCACAGATAAGGGTACATAAGGAGAAAAAAAAATACAAAATGTTGGAAGAGTTGGGAAAGTGAAGATTGGGGTCAGCAAGTAGTACAGGACATATGCAAATTACTGAAGCAAAAATGAGGGAAAATATGGTATGTTGAAGCATTTTTAATTAGTTTTTGAAATTTATATTAAAATAGAACACAAGGGAAAGATTACCAAAAGACCAGGACAGCCGCAGGGAAAAAGAAGGGAAGAAGATGGGGAGACTTGACAGAAGACATGCGATCCATAAAGAATCTGAGCATTTCTCATGGAGAAAGATCTTGAAATTGCTATTGGTTGGGACAGCCTATGGAACATTGGTATGGTTTTAGATAGAGCTCAGAAGGGAACCTAAAAAGATGAAAGTGCCTGATTGACAGAACGGTTAGGGCTGTATTAACTTGCACTGAGAAGCATTTTCTTTTTTCTTACTTTAGAGATGTCTTGTGATTTTTAAATGTGTTTTATTTCCAATACAAAGCCAATATGGAAATGTACTGCATCTGTTACGTAAGACCTCACTATTTCTGATTTGGAGTCAGTCAGATTTATCAGCCAAGTGTAAAACAGTTCCTTTGAGCATTACATTCTCATTTTACATGGAGATCACTTGTTGGTAGTTACCATATTCTACCCAAGTACAGATGTCTTTGTATTCCCAAAGCATGGCTGTAACAGATTTTTCTGCTTATGAGAGAGACTGGCTGATCTTACATAGTTAAAGAAGCTTAATTTGTTATGTCCTGATCCTGGAAATTGTCAGAGACAGATCAGACAGAATGGGTCACAAATTCAAGGTCTCTACATTGGAATCAGCAAGGTTAAATTAATAAAGGTATCTAAATTATGCTAAACTAAACAATGGTTTTCCTGAGTTCAGAAAAGCTACTGACAAGTAGCATCCATATTACATATATGTAGACATTTGTAAGCCATTTAACAGAAGTACTATATCAATGCTTGATTTTTCTATTGTCCAGCCTGGAATGCAGGTATATAAATTGAATATCAAAATGATTAAATGGAGGATACAAAAAGGATGGCAATGGATTACAATGAAGAGAAGTCACTAGCATATTATGTCAAGAGTCAGTACTGGGGCTCTTCCTTTTAGGTCCGTCCCCTCCAAACTCACCTTTAGACGCAAAGTTATAAATTGGTAAGAAAAATGTAAATACATTAGGGGAATGGTTTATAAAATGGCTGATGGATTTTAATGCAAGTCATAAAGGATTTTGAATCTAAAATATAATTGCTGGCTAAAGAACTGGGAAGTACCGACAACAAAAGAACTTAATATTCATGTTAGCTGCAATGAAGATGGGAATTTACTGTTTAACGCAGTAAAGGCCAAAAGGTTCCCAAGCTGCATCAAAAGGGTATATAAACAAAACAAGGGAAATCCTCTGTTAGGATGTACAAATTCTGGAGTAAATCCAGAAAGGAGCAGCTACGTTTTTTCAAAGTTATGGAGGGGACTTCACTATGAAGATCTGTTTAATCTCTTCAACTGATACAGTTTGTAATCTCCTCAGCCTATCAACTGGATAGATGAGGTAGCTATGAGTGGGTGGACTGGTTAGGGGATGAAATTTTAATGCAATGTATCCATACAATACCTAAATGGGGATGATAAAAGAATTGGGAATAAGGATCTCATTGAGCTAAACAGCAATAGGAACGCACAAAGACCTGCCTGCAAATTGCAAAAGGTAAAGTTTAGGTATAACACTGACTGTTCCCCCCCCCAGAAGGGTCATCAGTGTTTGGAATTCTTTGCTTTCAGAAATCAAGGAAAAGAGGACTAATTACTTGGATACCAATAGTGACTTTGAGAATAAATGGATTTGGATGAATATATGGCAATTCTTGCTCACATATACAGTGTTAAACTGACTGTTAAGTTTGAGGTATGGAAGGTCATGCCACTATTAGCAAGTTTTTGTTTTAATTTCCTCCACCTTCCTCTGGAAGATTGAACAGGGTCCAGATAGGATAAAGTGGGTGTATTCTATTGATTAATTTCCTGTGCCTGCAGCAAGTCAAGTATCACAATCCTTCCGGATTCAATTCCTTTCTATATTCAAAAACATTGCACATATCAGAATTTCTTTAATGACTTTTTTTTAAATTTAGTTTTCTAAAGTCTCTGTTATATCATTATTTACATCATTAGCCATGCTCTTTGTTCAGCCCCTGAAGCCACAGCAAGCTATTAGATTAATTACAAATCGTGTTATGGTGAAGAAAGGACAAAGTGCTTTTTCCTTTTTTCCATATAAGAATTTCTAAAGACTTCCATACAAATTATTGCACTTAATTAAAATTCAGGCATAATTACCCCTGCGACCAAAGTAACAATAATGCTGTCATGATAACATATCTTAAAAGAAAACAGCACTAAATATTAAATTAAATAACAAGACATTTGTCATTTTTCTGGATACATACAACTGGAGAAGAATCCTGATATTTTATTTCATATATTATTTTACATCATATCTGGTTACCCAGGCAACAAAGGATTTCAAGAAAAACATTTTGTAGTTTCTAGATCAGGCAAAATAAATTATATTTAAAAAAACCTACCTGTTTCATAGTGGTGTTATTGTCTGATGTCTAAAACACTGTTCTCAGGAATTTCTCACAAAAGACATTGCACGTTAGTTCTAATATATAAACTTTCATTCTTTCCCAATCCTCCTGACCTGGTGGTTCCTGCACATCCCCTGTGGAAACCTGAAGCAAAAAAACCTTACAGCATCCAACTTCCTTCAGAATTACTAACTCCGACTCCAACTTGGGGCCTAGTGTTATCCATTTCATGTTAATTGGAAAGCTTATCAACTGACTGTTAAAAATTTAAACAATTGTTTATGTGCTCTCCCTTTGCAATCTGCAAAGCTTGAAATATGACAAGAAGAGGTACTGAAGTCAACATAGTGGCATCTGCACTGGTTACTAGTTTCTTTATTCTTCTAAGATGTCCTTGTGATCTTATAATTCATTCACTGCATCATATTTGGAGGCATGTTATTACATTTATATATTTCCTAAACATGATAAAGAATAGCTCTAGGATACAATATTTACTAATCTGTATCACAAGAGACTCTAGTCATATCAAATTGTTGGGAAAGTATAACATTTACAGAATCTGTCTGAGTATGGGCCTACTGGCAGAAGCATCAGAAAATGGTGCTGGATTGTGATTAAGCACCTTCCCAGTTTCTAATTCACAGATGTTAAATCATCTAGCATTAGGAAATACTATAAGTATGGCTGGTATTTCCTAATAGTGTAAAATATAGCTAGCCATTCTATCCTGGTTCATATGGGAAGCTAGACAACTGAATTAATCCAATAGGAATGGGGCAAGTACATGCTTATTATAATGCACTCCCATCATCACTCCTCCTCACTCTAGTTAATGACACAATACACTTCAGGTTTCTTACACCACCAGAAGCATGACCTCTTGTAGATGTGCTGGTTTGTAAAGTGGAAAGCTGGTAAGATTAAGGCAAAAGATTTACACGAGTGAGCAGTTTATAATAGATTTAGCCAATTACATACAGTATAATTGAATAGGCAAATAACTGCCACGGAGTATAAATTTAAGTATTTACACCTTAGCATTCAAGTGTTTTTATAGCCTTCATCCAGTCTGCATGTTTAAATTGCAAAATTAAAAATTTTGGTAGTTTGTACACACACATTTCTTTAAAAAAATAAAAGATCCGGACTAGTGGATTCATCTTGGTATGATCATCCTTTCTATGGCACAGATAATGTGATCCCAATTTTTACAAAATATTGCAAGTAGAGTCACTGCAAAAAAAGTGCAGATGATATGGAAACGGCTCTTCATCATAGGAGCTATAAACTTTGCAATGGTAGAAACGCACACTAAGATGACGGTCATGAAGGCCAAGATTACATTTATACATTTCCCTAGGAGTACTTTGGCATTCACAGTTTCTGACTGCAGCGCTTGCTGTTCTTGCTGATGGAACTCCAGCTTAAAAACCCGAGTCTGGCAAGATTCCAAGGCTTCCTGTAGACAAAAAGGAAAATAAGAGTCAGCTACATTTCTACACAAAACAGTTTCTCATTCAGTATAAATTTATAAACTATTTAAACAAATACGTTGTGCAGACAATCAATTGTTGACAAAAATTATAAAAGTATAATCAAACTTGACAACGCTATCATAAGTGTGACATTTACATTTTTTCCTGGTTGAGAACAATAGTGTTCATGGTGTCTCATGTTTTCTGAATGTACAGGCTGAACTTCTCTAATCCGGCACTCCCTGGTCTGGCAACATCTGTGGTCCAGCATAGGCACCAGCTCTGGGGATGAAGCACCCACGGGAAAAATCAGTGGGTGCGGAGCATCCACCAGTGTCAAGTTCCCCCCTCTGCCTCCCTCCCCCCGTGCCTCTCGCTCACCGGCGGCCCTGCGCTTACCATCTCCTTCTCCTCCTTCCCAGCGCTTCTGGAGTGCCGCGAACAGCTGATTCGTGGCATTCAAGCTCTGGGAGGGAAGAGGAGGACCTGGGGCCGGCATCTGGGACCCCAGGCGAGGGGCCAGCGGCTGGGCCTGGGGCTGGCATGGAGCCCTTGGGCAAGACCCGCTGGCACTCTGCATTAACCTTGGCAAATTCTCTGGTTCGGCACCGGTCAGGTCCTGAGGGTGCCAGACTAGAGAGGTTCAACCTGTACTGATGAGCTGAAGAACTGGGTAAGCTGTTACCATGGTAACTTCACTATATCAAACCAGCACCAAAATTAGTTTCTTCGCATAACATTGAAAATGTTAGGACACTGCTGGCTTGCTGTGACACCAATTAAATCAACTGCAATGTGGACCCATTTGGTTTACACCTCCATTCTGGTCTAAATTCACTTTCATTCTCTTGAATGCCACCCACTGTACAATGATCCATGTCATAAATGCATTGTGAGCACGCATGTCTCTGGAGAAGATAAAACTGAGTCACGCTGGCCACTTTCCAGCCTAACTTTGCTTACAGTTATATCATTTAAATATCAATATGTCAGCTTAAACGGAGATACAGTCCTCTTAATATTTTCTTGTAACAAGTAAAATGCAGAAATGTTTAGCTGTCGAAATAATACTGTAATTATAATTCACTTTCCAACTTGTTCTTTTATACAATAAATCACAAATTCCGATCATCTGGGAAAAGTGGATAACCAAGACCCCAGGGTTGTCATTAATCTTTAGGAAATGTCCTGCACTCAAAACACAGCTACCCAGACTTACTCTTTTCTTCAATCATCATTTTATACTTTCTGTAGATAGAACTCTAGTCTATAGTTTGAAATTAAGTTCCCCATCCCTTACTGACTTGGTCTTTTCTCATTTGATGTTTCTTTTGTTCTGAACCTGAATGTATAAATCTGGCTGTTGTTTAAAGGTGAACTAAATGCTCTTTAACTAAAAATTACTCCTACCCCCCCCCCCGAATTATTAACCCAACATATGTGCAAACATAAGTGACAAGTAAATAAATACATACTTTCCAAAACAAATCTGTTTAAAATCTTCTACTTCATTTACTGTGTTTAGTTGACTGTGGTAAAGTTCTCATCACTAAATACATAAATCAGTACAAGAAATGCAATTTCTTTTCACTACTTTAGGCGTTAATAAAGTGAACAACTCTTGCAGGAGAAACACAGGGAACAAAAGGTCTTGATAGGTTAAAAACTTCTCAGTTCATCTGTAAACTGTATTAATAATTCACAAGTCTACATGGGTGTTTTACTAATGATTTGGGATCTCAGTCAGTTTTCAACAACTATACTGTTTTTCTACAATAAATTCAAAATTTATATAGGGCTCTGCCATGCTATGTTAGTATTCAGCTAGGAAGGGGTTTGGACATTATTTTATGTTAAGCACACAGCTGGGAATAGTGTTATCTTACTGCTGTTACAGAGCCAGCAGGGAAAGCAAAATTATTGCATTTCAGAGCATTTTACATTAGATCAGTAGATTCCTTATTCCTCTAGTGATGACAGAGCAGTAGATATAAGACACCATTTAGAATCCACAGGACTTTATTCATTCGATTATGAAACACTAGCAGGTAAAATCGTGGCCCCATTGACTTCAGTGGGAATTCTGCCACTGACTTCAGTGAGGCCAAGATTTCACTCTAGTGGGGTAAAAAATTGGGCCTAAATTCCTTAAATGCAAACGTTATTCCAAATTTTGCAAAATGTCTAGGCTATGTAACAAGTTGATTATAAAAATACCTGAACATCTCGTGACCGTTCACAGGCCTGATATGCCACTCTTTCTTCTATGCTGGCTAGCTCTTGTTTCAGGTTTGCAGTCTCATGCTGATGAAGATCTGTCAGATCGTTTAGCTGGTCTTCCAATCGTTCATACCTTTTTCAGGAAAAAAGGAAGTCTGAATTTAGCTCCTTCTACACAAATGATGTTACACCATGTTAGAATGCATCTGTACTTTAAAGGAATCTTTCCTTGTATCTCAAGTCACCCCACTTTGGTTTGTAATGAAAGGGATGGAGGGAAAGTTTCCCAAGGACTTACTCGGCAGGCTGAAAGCTCTTTGTAAATGCTCCTGGTTGGTGAAATAACAGAACAATGTTTGAAAGACCAAGGCATTTTAATACTGCAATATAAAAGTAACTCAGTGGATAAGTGTATCCAATTCATGCTCTTCCTCCTTTCAGACCACAATTCAAATCTTGTCCTGGGGGTTTCTAAATATTTCCCCCACCATATAAACAAACTGAAATAAATTGCCTTCCCTACACTTGGAGAACTACACAAAGAAATTTTAATAAGTATTGTGTTTGTATGAATGTTTAATCTGTTAGCACAGTAGAAACTATATTAATCTCATTAACCAATACACTTATTATCATGACTAATATGACAAACAGGATGTTCTGCGTATGTTTCAGGGGGCCACGATTTTCAACAGTGACTAATTACTTTGGATGCCTAAACTTTACAGCTTAAATAGTCCTGATTTTCAGAGGACAGGTGCTCAGCGCTTTCTGAAAAGCAGGATCCTTTAAGGTATCTTAAGCTGAGAAGCTCAAAAATTGAGGCATCTAAAAAGTCACTAGTCACCTTCAAAAAATGTACCTTGTGTCTGCTTTTAGTCTCTGGGACCAGGTGCTGATACTCTGCAGAATATAACTCACACTCCACAATGGATGTTAAAGGGTTTACCAAGCAGCTAATGAGCCCACAAGGAAGCCGTGTTAAAGTATTTAAAACCAAATCTCTCTATACTTTGTTACACTGTGTCTTCAAACTTCACAGTCCCATAACAATGTGGTTGAGAACATATACCATACCACACTGCAGGAAATGGCTCATCAATAAGGAAGTATTGTCAACTGTAAAGCTCTATTACATCAGAGACCACTTATTAGATGCCAAATTACAATAAATCAGGAGCAGTCCATTGGTGACAACAGCACTGGCACTAATTGTATGCAATATTCACATAATGTAATGTCAGTAAAGTATCAGATAACAAAGCTTTCCAGAAAAGCCTTAGACAACTGCACAGAACTATCCAGTTCTATCAGATTGTGAAGTAGTACAGTCACAAATTTAGGTTAACAGAAGAAATCAAGAACTTTGATACCTGACAGTGATTACTGAACACAAGTTCACCTTTAAAAAAAAAAATTCGTCACATAGTTTTGAATCAGTTCATATAGCCGTGCAAAAGCTATTTCAAAAGAACAGAAAAAGAAAATACCTGTATCTTTCCTCCTGCAATGTCTGAGAAATAAAACCATAGTCTCTTTGAAACTGTGCTTTTAAATTCTCTATGTCATCAGCTAATTGGGACTGTGTCTCCTTTATTTCTCTCAGTTCCTCCAAGATCATGGAAAGCTTTGCTTGGCTGTCCAGAGCGTTTGTCCCACCGGGCCCAAAGGAATGGTTCCCATTACTATCTGCAGAGCCAGATGTCCCACTTGAGCACTCATCATCACTAACATATTTTGGTTTAGCCACAATAGTAGCACTGCCACCATAGGCCCTGGAACTAGTTTCTGGCCGAAATTCATCCAGGGTATTTTTCAGGTGAGAAATGTTGTCAGCACTACCAAATTTATTTCGGATCAAGTTTGCAAACTCTCTCGACTTGCTGAAAACAAACACTGGTGGTGTCAAGGAGACACCTGGCACACCCGATTTGCTGCTCTCAGCACCTTGGCCACTGGTACGAGATTTGCCATGGACATCTTTTAAAGGGGGATGGATATCCTTCAAGTTATCTTTCGAAATATCTTTGGAACTTTTGGAAGATCCATTTTGTTCAATGTCTTTGAGCTTTCGGTGATACTGTTCCAATTTCTTCTGTAGCTGGGCAATGGAGTGGGCAGATTTCTGGTTCTTCTTCTCAAAGACTTGTTTAATTCGTCCAGCCTGCTGCTTGTCCGCACTGTTCACCAGTTTTAAATATTCAGCCACATTTCCATCACGGGCTGTTTGTTCAATTTTGATCTGTTCTGTAACTTTCAAAATTTTTTGTTTCAGGCTATCTGCATTAAGTTTGACTTTGTGAAATTCTAAGATCCCATCAGGTACATCAAAGTTGAGGTTGGTGTCTGAACCCCCACGGCGAATGTTAAGTGGCAAACTCAGAGTATTCATGTCATGTCTTTCCACCTGAAAAGAGATTAAAATTCAAATTGAAGACAGCTGTTTCTATTTTATATTTAAATTCTACCCAAAATTGGATTGCCCATCAAACTATTTATATCAAACACTGGTCAGAAAATAACTTACGAGTTCAATATGTGTTGAACATATTTTAAAGTATTTCTCACAAGTTATGTTAAATAATGTAGAAAGTGAAGACATGCTACTTATTCAGCCATGTACAATATGGGTATGAAAATACATGCTTGAGTTGGCAAATGACAACCAAGTAGCTTGTCTTTTGCTTAAAAAAAGTAAAAGTAATACAAAGAATCAAAACTAGAGCATTATAGGTAAAGCCAGGTTTGGGGGGGGGTTGTTGTTTTTTTTAAACACAAAAATGCTTTACCAGCATCAGGAAACATTCCCTGTAGATTTTCTATTATCAAAAGATTTATATCATTCACGAATGGTAAACATCCCACTGTAGCTGGATGGACACTTATTAGTGGTCAAGTTCTCTCTTTCTATATCTCTCACTGTACTATCCAATATGCTTTACTGAGCTAAAGCCCAGTTATGGACCCAACTGATCAAACAAACAGTTGTTCTTACTCATCTAGACAAAGGTGTCTTGCAATTTACAGGAAGCTTTAGTGACAGCATGAGCCCCAATTTACAGTCAGATCCAATAGCATCCATTAGCTTTCAGTGTAGCTATCACAGAGAGAACTGGACACCCATTTGACTTTTCAAGTTTGTTGAAGGTGTCCAACAACTGATTTGTTTCCGCTAAGTTGAAAATATTTTAATATCAGCCTGGCAGTGTGTGATTTAAATGCCCACAACTCTCAAGAAAAGAAGAGTGTCTGAAGTATTGGACTCCTATGATTGCGTTCAATTGTAATCGCTTAGATGTTTTGCACATTGAACTTGGTAAGTATTCTCCCGAAGTGTAATAAAGTAGATGAATAGTGATTAAGCCACTTGATGATGATAATTGGCCAGAGCACTAAAGCTTGATTAATAATCTAGATAGCATATCAAAACAGCCTCAGTTTCCAAAGTACTAAAATATTTTCTCATATAAAATTACTGTGGAGTAGTGAAGTAGAATTTATCTAAGGAGAAAGTTTTCATATATCTGATCACTATCACACCAAAATATCCCCTGTCAAATAAGTGGGGGCACTTTTTGAATCAGCCATAGCATCCAATTGATAGAGATTGCTTTTTTCAAATATACTGGCCATAATGGATTTCCCATGCATCACAAAGTCTTCATAAAAAAAAAGTGCCAAAAAATACAGCCAGTCTTCAGCTAGCTTTGGAGAGGAAAAACTCCAGTCCAAATAAGTTAAAGGCATTAGTACTGACTCAAAACAGTCCCAGTGATAGGTAGTAAATCTTGGACAACCCTTTCACCACCACCACCCCCCGTCCCCCAAGTCCTCACATTGTATTTTGTTCTGAATGTCATGCCTTGGGTATTTTTCTACATAGCACCATAAACCACACAGAGTTGGGCAAGCATTTAATTAATTTACCGCTGTGATAAACGAGCATTCAGCTTTTTAAAAGCTGAATAGTTAAAATAAATGCATTTTATCACTAAAAATAGCGTGTAGAGGAAGAACTAGAATGATGCCAGGGGTTACTTGCAGTACATTGACCTTTTCATCTCTGAAGAACTGGGCTTTAGTCTTGGCAGTTTAGACCATCAATGAAAGTGAGTTTAGTAGTTTCATCCTAGTCCCCCACTGCACTTATTGCACAAGTTGCCCCATGACAATAGAACTGATGAAAGAACACTACGCCTTGTATAGTCAATTCTCCTCATGTATGAAATTTATTTCATCCATACAGAAGGGCATTTGGTTGAGCATTCAATGGCAAAACTGCTTTTAGACAAATCTCATACATGGTTAGGGCTTTTTACTTATGCCTTTCTTACATTTTGCCACTATAGGAATATGAATGGATGATGCAAGAATCAATTATTCAAGGTCCTGTGTAAGAAACATGCAATACAAATGCCTATTAATAAAAAATAAAATTAGTTTGGGACATAGCACAGAAAGGGTTTGGCTACTTAACTTCATGTAGTGTGAACAGAATCTAACTACTGTATGCCTTTTTAGACTTGCAAGCATTGTCTACTACGAGGGGAGGGCTAGCCCAGTGGTTTGAGCATTGGCCTGCAAAACCCAGGGTTGGGAGTTCAATCCCTGAGGGGGCCATTTAGGGATCTGGGGCAAAAATCTGTCTGGGGATTGGTCCTCCTTTGAGCAGCAGAGTGGACTAGATAACCTCCTGAGGTCCCTTCCAACCCTGATATTCTATGAATTGATGGAGTATAAAAAGCAGCTAGTGCAACACTGATGCTTCTTATGTTTTGGGCCAAGCAGTCCTAAGAACGCAGAGAGCACAGTTCTGATATTGATTATTTCTTGTTAATTATTGGTTACTGTTGATGTCCCAGGGCGACTGGCCCCTTTAAGTGGAATCAGGGTCCAGTCTGCTTGTGACTGCCTTCTGCAGGACCACCAAGGTTAAATGACTGCCCCAGATGACTACTTAAAGGTTAATTGGTGAATGACAGCTGGACCTAATAAAAAGGTTATCTGAGTTTAGTTAGGGTAAGTACTCCCAAGGAAACGGGAAGCTTCTGAGGAAAGAAGCTATCAGGAGAGCTCACCGGAGCAGAGAGTCTAGAAGGTGTACTCCTGGAGACAGGAGATTCTTAAAAGGACAGCTACAGTGGACAGGCATCCAAGGCGGCCTGGTCTCAGCAAAAGGGGATCTCCCAAACAGTTGTAGGAAGCCCAGCCTGCCAGGAACAATGTGCTGCCTTGGAGAAGAGCTGCAGCTGACTGGTCTCCATGGAGTTGGACCCAGAGGAGGGCCTTACCCAGGTAAAGGCAAGAGATCTAACTCCAGAGAAAGGGACCTAAGTCGAGAGAACCCTGGTGGTAATGGGCCTGGTGTTATGCTTATAAGAAGCACACAGGATCTTTTTCAGGGAAAAAGGCAATACGCCGCATTTAGGGAGAATACAGCAGCTGGCATATGCTTTTCAGTTTTACACACACACACAATGCACACAGTCCTGCCAGTTGATGTTTATAGTTACCAGTCCAGAATCTGGATCAATCTAGTGGCCAGCCAGATTGGGCACAGAGGGGAGCCGGGCTCTGTCGGTCACGATCTGATGCTCCTGGAATTGTGGCAAGATGAACCCAAAGTCCCATGGCCAAGCACCCTGTTCTTAGTCTTTTTTTCCTCTGTCGAAGTCTATGGATTTTTCTGTTAATAAAGAGACCTTCCAAATAAAGAGACCTTAAGGTCTGCCTGAATGTTTATATCCCATGTGCAGGGAAATCAAGGGAGGCCTAACCCTCAGCGCCAGGCCTGACCACAAGCAGGTGCCCCAAGACAGTCTGCACTACTGGCAGTCTATTCAGGTTCTTATGCTAGTCCACTCACTGTGGTATCTGAGCACCTCACCAGTTTGCTCACATGAAAAAATATTGAGCAATATGCTCCATGAATCAAACAGGATTATTTACCCCCTTCTTGCTTGCATAGAACGCTAATAATAATTACATATGTGCATCAAGAGGAGAATCAGCTCTATTAAGCCAATCCCATTTCAGTATTAACTTAGATTCCACACACAGCGGTTCAATGTTCCATCCGAAAATTGTGATCAAAATACTACACTGTTAAGGTGGGTCACTGATGTACAAGATCTTATTTCCAGAAATACTTGTATTTCCAGAATGGTCTTAGACATTATAACGAACAGTAAAAATAATTACTTAGCTTTATATACCACTTTTCAAACAATAGCTAATAAATCTTCACAATACTTCTGTGACAGATAAGCATCTCCAATATTACATGTGCCAAAACTCAGGCACAGTGACATTAGATGACTTGCCCAAGGCCACATAGAGAGTCAGTGTCAGAATCAGGATTATACCTCAGGAGTTTATGTAGTCAGTCCACTAGCCCACATAAATGAATGTCTGATCAGAAGCATTTACTGTATCTGGCTAAATCAACAAAGGGGATGGCGGGAAGCCTAGTATAAAATATTAGCTTCCAGAAACAATGCAAATCACTTTTGAATAAACCTTGACACAAAGTTATCCTAAAATAAGTCCGTGAACCACACATACACACGCAAGTCAGACTTGTCACTGATGTTATCCAGCACAAACTGTACATTGCTTCCAGAAATGGGTGGTTCTGACTACAATCTTTATAGTGTTTACTTCCTTTAGTACAAAAGTGTTCTAAAAATATTTTGCAATAATTGGATAGAAGCCTGAATCAGGTCTCTTCTCCCTCATGTCCCTTACTGCAAAGTGCTGGAACAGCTAATGGTCACAAAGTTCAGTTCTTACCTATGCTATGTGACTTCCCCTCCCTACCCGGTCAGGAAGGTATAAAGACAAATCAGGCAAATATGGAGTTCACATCAGCCAAAAAAGGTGTCAAGCAAGTCACCTTTGCAGGCAGTGGCAGCACCAGTTACCTTCATGCTAACCATGCAAGGAGCATATCGGGACCATCTGTGTCTTGCATCAGTGAAGGAGAGCCCTTAAAAAAAAAAAAAAAAAAGTCTACCTGGGGGAGGTCTGAAAGGAGTGGAAATATGCTGTCTTGACTAAAAGAAAAGCAGTAACTGGGAAACTGGGATAGAAGCTGTTGAGCAGCAGAGGAAGCAATCCTGAGACAGACGTGGCACTAGACCAGAATGAGGAACGCAAAGCATTAGCTAAGAGCCTGAAGGAATCTACTGTGCTTATGTGGTGTTAGACACACATCCCATTAACTCCCTGGAGGAGCGGAGGAGACTCAAACTCATGCAATGGCTGTTGATGGAAATGTTAGGCGTTTTTTTGCGGGGTGAGGTGTAAGAGTGGGGGACAGAGGTGGGGGTGGGGGGGAAGAACAGTGCTATGTTGTGGAGGGAAGGACCACACACCATCCCCAAAAAGCCTAGTCGAGAGCTATTT